CTGTGGATCAAAGGCGGCGTCACCATCACCAAGCTGGGCTGACGGCGGACCGTCACCACGGCGACGGCCCCTCCGCTCGACCCGTTTGGGTCACCCGCCGCCTTGACCTTACGTTGTGACCTCGGGCGCCCATGCTTGGTGGCTACGTGCTAGCGTGGTTTCGAGCTCATTCTGGCTGACGGTGACATCTTCCACCACGAAAATGGAGAATTCCATGAGCCCATTCCAGCCGCACCCCCCCCTCCCAAAAAAAAAAAAATTTTGCCATCTTGAGCTCTTTAGCAGTGATTAGTTCAATGTTCCCACCTCCAGAAATGCCCAACGTAGCTCCGAGAACCGATTGGTCGGAAAATGAAGGAAGGAATAAAAATAACGTGTCCTTTAACGCCAATGACAACAGGGATGTAACATTTTTTTGACGATACTTTTGGTCTTTTTTTTAGTTTTGCTTTTTAATGACCCAACATTCAGCCGATTTTCTTTTTTGCCGGCGGCGGCGTCGCTGCTGTCAATCAGATCGATCAACGCTTCAAGACCGTGCGATCAAGATCATCGTCACATTTTATTCTGTGTGCTCAGCTCACGGGTTGGTTGTTCCTCTTTTTCCTGACTCGACGCGCCCCCCACCCCCCTTTTAACTTTATTCTGAAATGTGCACATTTTACAAAAAGAGCTAAATGAATGAAACAAAATAGGAATATACAACATAACAATGCAAACAACTACAACATCCCAAGGGGGGGGGAAAAGAATTTCCCCAAAAGTACTGTCGCAGATTTTTTTTGACTCGCGCATGCGCAAGGCAACACCGCGTGGCATTATGGGAAAATGCTACGTTGAGAGCATTTTAGCCCACAAGTACCACAACAGCTGACAAAAGTGGGAACACACACACAAAAAAAAAAACAAACAAAAACACTTTTCGAGCTCTCTTTTAAAGTCGTACTGTAATCGTGTATTGGTGGTCTCCACCTCAAAAAGAGGTTTTGACTGGTGACATTTGGATTTGTGGATCTGGAATTTTGCCGAAATTATTCTTAAATGAATCCTACATATAAATTGTACAAAAAAGTGCACTTTTGCGAAAAGAAAAACTTTTTGCCGACTCGGCGCTTGTTGTTTTCCGGCCTTTTTCGGAGGATAGCGGCCGCTTGCGCGCGGTGCATGCCGGGAAGGCGCGAGGCGGGCAAGGCCGGCTTCACCATCCGCCCGCCCGCCCGCCGCCGCCGCCGTCGTCGTCGTCGTCATAGGCGACCTGGTTCCTCTCTCCCACTCCAGCCGACGAGCTCCAGCGGCCGGCTCGCACGCACCTTGACTCCCCGGGTTCCGCCAAGTGAAGTTGCAGCACCTCCGGCCCCGCGGAGGAGGACTTCCCCCGTCCGCCGCGTCATGGAAGCTCTCGCGGGGCGCGTCAAGGTGGGTCGACAACGGTTTGCTTGTCGTGTCCTCTCGAACAGAAAGCGGCGGCGGCGGCGGCGGCGGCCACCTGCTGTCGGCGCTAGCTCAAGTTGTGGCTCGACTCGGGCTAGCCGCGCAGCTAGCCGCGCCCGATGCTAACCCAGCCGCCCGCTGCCATTCGACGAGCCTCGCTCGCGTGCGGGGGCTCTTGGGGCTCGCTTTGTGTGTGTTTTTTTTTGCCGCATCGCTTCCCGCCGGCGAGCCGAAAGGAAACGCGGAAACGACGAGCTCGCTCGCCCGCCCGCGTAGTCAGCCGCGAGGTCCGCGCTCACGCTCCGCCGCCGAACCTTCCGGCCCCATTTGAACGGACTAGCGTGAGCTTCCGTTCGAACGATCGCAGCGTGATCGCTCGGTTGCGAGACGGCGACGGCGACGCTAGCCGGTTAGCCTTCCCTTCCCTTCCCTTCCCCTCGGCGCCAAAAGTGGGCAAACTTTAGTGCGCTTGGCCGGGCCTCGAGTTGGGCTCGTCAAGCCGCCGGCCGAAATGCCTCGTCGACTGCGTTGGCTCGAGCTGTCAAGTCGCCGTCCGGGTTGGTCCCGAAGTGGACCAGGAGACTCGAGGCCAAGAATCCCCGGGACTCGGTCCCTCAAACTCGGGAAGCGGCGCAACGAAACGCTGCCGCCTTTGTCGTGTGGACCGGGTTGTTGTCTAAAGTCCTCAATTCAGTTTTTTTTTTGGGGGGGGGGGGGAGGGGTTGGGGCTCTGCACATGGAAGGGATTAGCCTGGGGCTCAGGAGTGCTTTTCCATGGAGAGAAAGGGGCCTGGAGACCATCCCCCCCGTGCCCCCGCGGCAGGTGTAGCAGGACGGACGAGTCGCCATGGAGCCTGACGTCATGCGGCTGTACTCGTCGTCCCCGCCGCCCATGGAGGACGCCGAGGAGGACGACGACCAAGACGACTTTGGCGATTTCGGCGCTTTCTCGACCGCGTCGGCCGGCGACGGCTTCGGCGAGCCGGACGCGCCCGGACACGCCTCCTTCGCCACCTCGCCGCCGGAGCTCCTCAACGGCCTGCCGGCCGCCGAGGAGG